GTGCGGAGTGCCTCGGTGCCGGGGACCACACCGTATCTGGCTGCGGTGCCGCTCGGAGACTCGGTGCCGCCGATGATGGTGCCGATTCCGGGCGGCCTGGCGGGACCGATATCACTGAGAGCGCGGGACTCGGCGCTGATGTGCTGCGGGCTTTCGATAATTTGTCGGCTCCCTTCTTTCTGGGGGTGGGGGCTGGAGCTCCTTTGAGACACATGCTTAAAGGGATCTCCCTGGACAGCCGTTTCTTTTCTGCTCCGTGCTTCAGGACCTTCTATAGGGACTGACAGCCATAGCAGTTCTAGTTGTGGTTTCCCTCAGCCTCTTTGGACACCACAGCTTCTGCCCTAGTGCCTTTTGCGTTTTCACTGCTGTGCCACGGAGCCTGGGGTGCCTCTGTGCCTGCTTTGGCCCCACATGGCCATTTTTTGGAGTACCTGCAGCTGTTGCTCCATGCTGCTGCGCTACTCCTACAGGAGCTCGAGACCGATGGCACAGTGACCACACTTCTCCTAGGCAGCGAATGCAACGGGAGTGGCCATCAGAGACGGGCATGGCCTCTCCACACGAAGCACATTTCTTAAATCCCGGAGAGCCGGGCATGTCTGCTGAGGAGGTCTCCGGGAACAGACCAACTTGAGGGCTCGCCGGAGCGTCCCTCAGGGTTTATAACGGGAGAGGAAAATTTTTTTTTTTTTTAAACTATCAACTACTAACTAACTAATCTAAAAGAATAACTGACTAACACTAAGTAGGAAGGGGCTAACTGGGAAAGAATATAGAAATACAAGAATAACAATTTCTCCTCAGGAGAGGAGCGTGTTCCAAATCCGTCTGCGGCCGTGGACGGTTAGGAGGAACTGGCGGGTCGGACCGCGTGACGCAGAAAAGGCGCGAACGCCGCGGGATGCTCTGAACATGCGCGGTCCTCCGGAGGGGGCTACTGCTAGCAAAAACTTTCCGGTTTGTGGCGCCGGGACGAGCCCGACACCTGTAGTGGAGCACCCACGGGGACATCACTCGAAGAAGAACTTGAATGTTCTATGTTCTTTTATTCGTCTGTGATACATCTGGTCTTCTCTTAGGGTACGTCTAGACTACATGTCTCTGTCGCCAGAGGCATGTAGATTAGGCTACCAGACACAGTAAAATTAAGCAGCGATTTAAATAATCGCCACTTCATTTAAATTTACATGGCTGCCGCGCTGAGCCGACAAACAGCTGATCAGCTGTTTGTCGGCTCAGCG